CTGCACCAGGTGGTGCCAACCTGGACTGTTGGTGACGTCCCGTGCCAGTTTGTGTCATGCCTGGAGGTGCCAGTCTATGGCAGCTTGTGCCAGTCTTGCTGCTCGATGCCCGTCAGTGCCAAGTCGTGTCCATCTGTGCCAGTTTGTGCCGGCCTGGGCCATCTTTGCCGGTGCCAGGTGGTGCCCACTTGTGTCTGTGCAAGCTGGTGCAGTCTGTGTGCCCGTCTCTGCTGAGGTATGCCAGGGTGTGCCGGGCTGTGCCACTCCATCCCAGGCTGTGCTCCCGGTCCTGGAAGCCCCACTGGGCAAGGGAGCAAGGCTGCACTGAAAAGCTGTTTCCACCCTGTTTCTTTTTCTTTTTGGCTTTTTGGGTCCCCCCCCGCGATGCTCAGGGGTCCCTCCTGGCTCTGCACTCAAGAATCACCCCTCGGGGTGCTCAGGGGACCCTATGGGATGCTGGGAATCGAACCCGGGTCGGCCGCGTGCAAGGCCAACGCCCTCCCCGTTGTGTTGTGCGATCGCTCCAGCCCCTCCACCTTATTTTCTAACCATGTCCCAGGGCTCCTGCCCGCCACACAGCAGAGGAGGAGAGACCAGCCCCCCACAGGGCTGCCGCTGCCAGGAGGGCCCTGGGAGGCGGGGGCTGCGGGGGGCCGTGCATGGTGGGTGCCGGGGGGGACACAGGCTCCTTGTGGGGACTGGCCCCACTCTGGCCTCACGGGGGCAAGGCAGCCTGAGTCTCCAGTGCGGCATTCACCTGGAGACTCGGCCTCCTGTGCTCAGTGGAGAAGAAGGTCCAAACACAGCCGCGGCTTTCGCACTGCTGGACAGGAAGAGTCCGGCGGGAGGGGGTCTGTCCAGTGGCCACCCCCGTGGTCAGTGTGGGCCATGGAGGGGGCACAGGTGCTGAAGCCAGAATCACGGGCTTCCTGTCGGCCCCAAGAACCAGCAGCCACGGGATCTAGGGCCAATCACATCCTCTCTTTGGGCCCCGGGGGACTGGGTGGCATGTACTGACCAAATTGGCACACCTTGGTACTGGCTGGCACACCTTGGCATCTCTTGGCATACATTAGCACATTCAGCAAGGGTTGGCATGGACTGGCACACCTTAGCAAGGTTGGCATAGACTCACACCGGGGCAGGGCAGGCACGTCTCAGCAAGGTTGGCAGGGATTGGCACAGACTGACATGTGGTCATAATTTACATGCCTTGGCAAGACTGGCACACCTTAGATGACATAGATTGGCACAGGTTGGCATGGGCTGGCATAGATGATAACACATTGGCCAGTTTGGCATGGCCTGGCAGGAGTTGGCACAGCTTGGCACATGTTGGCATGGACTGGTACAGACTGAAGACATTGGCATAGGTCAGTTCAGACCACTACACATTGGCACAGATTGGCACACCATGGCTAGGCTGACATGACCATCATGTGTTGGCACAGACTGGCATAGACTGACACACCTGGTTGTGGGTTGGCATGGACTGGCACAGTGTGGCACAGTTGCCATGGCTGGCATAGATGGACATCCAGACAGGACTGGCACACTTAGCACTGATGGTCACACTTCAACACAGGTTGGCATGGACTTGCACATCTTTAAACGGGCACATCTTGGCACAGGTTGGTACATACTGGCACACCTTGGCACATGCTGATACAGACAGGCACAAAGGGCATGCCTTGGCACAGTTTGACATGAACTGGTGCATCTTAATGGGGGCTGGCATAGACTAGCACTCCTTGGCACGGACTGGCACACCTCAGTAAGACTGGCACAAGCTGGCACATGTGGCACACCATCACATGGGCTGGTGTAGACTGGCATACCTTGGCAGGGACAGGAAGATCCGGAGCACACTGACATGGCACACAGAGGGCACGCACTGACATGGACTGGCACACATTGGCACAGACTGGCCCATCTTGCCATAGGCTGGCCTAGACACACCGTGGCACTGACGGAGACTGTCAAAGCCTGCATATCTTGCACCCAACTGGCACATCTTGGCATGGACTAGCAGACACTGGCACTCGTTGGTACACCTTGGCACAGACTGATATGAATTCGCATAGAGTGGCACACCTTTTTCTTGTTAAAAGAAGAATTTTTATTTATTTTTAAAATTTTTTAACTTTTTTGCTATTTGGATCACACCCGGCGATGCTCAGGGGTTACTCTTGGCTCTGCACTCAGGAATCACCCCTGGCAGTGCTCAGGGGACCCTGTGGGATGCTGGGAATCGAACCCGGGTTGGCCGCATGCAAGGCCAACGCCCGACCCCTTGTGCTATAGCTCCAGCTCCAAAAGAAGAATCTTTAAATAAGCTCTTGGAGCGACAGCACAGCGGTAGGGCGTTTGCCTTGCACGCAGCTGGCCCGGCTGAGCCGCGTTCGATTCCTCCGCCCTCTCGGAGAGCCCGGCAAGCTGCCGAGAGTATCTCGCCCGCACGGCAAAGCCTGGCAAGCTCCCCGTGACGTATTCGATATGCCAAACACAGTAGCAACAAGTCTCACAATGGAGACGGTACTGGGCCCGCTCGAGCAAACCGATGAACAACGGGAGGACAGTGCTACCGTGCTCCCGATCTTTAAGTACAGCAGGGGTGACAAGTAGGAAGCAGAACGTTATCTGAGTGTCAGTCTAGCCGTAAATGCTGGTCTGTTTTTCAACGGCTGATATGCAAACATGAACTTCTGTGCGGGGTACACAGGCAGCTGTGCTCTGGGATCAGTCCTGAGGGGACCATGTGTGGCGGCAGGGATCGAATCCAGGTGGGCTGTGAGCAAAGCAGGTGCTTTACCCACTGTATTCTCTTTTTGGCCAGAACGTGAACTTTCGAAACTTCCTTTCCAACAAATTTAGCTAGGAACGGATTAAAGACACTATCTTTATTTAAACGTACTTTCCCAAAGTCATTGAACCTCATCCGAGGTCATGATCTTCCTTCCCTTAGCTTATGGGGTACATTGACTCGTGTTTCATAAGGTACAAAACTGAAAAATAACGACAAGTACAGCTCGGAACGTCGCCCAGGACTCACGGTCGCGAGTCCTAATCCCTGTTGTAACAGTTAGTTTTTCTTCCCTAATCCTCTCCACTGTGGGCTCATTTTTGTTTTAGAAGAGAACAGGGTCTCCCCTGCGGTTCCCCCCACCCCATCTCCCTCCCGTTCTTGCTCCCGGAAGGAGAACTTGGGACCTGTGGGCCTAGGAGGCCTTCCCAGAGGAAAGGGCAATGGGAGGACGGGGGTGGGCCTGGCTTCATCAGGCAGGGAGGAGCACTCAGAGAAGAGCCCGGGCACTGCTGAAGTCAGCTGAAGCCTGGGGTGCGGGTCAGGCTGGGCTCTGGTGCCCGCCACTCCCTCTGCGCTGGCGGCCACCGTGTGTGTGCTCTGCGCCCACGTGCCCATTTCACCCGTGGGAAGACAGAGGCCACTGGACATTGATTCTTTTGACGTCCCCCAGTGGCTGAGGCCTGGACTCGTGTCCCTGCTTGGGGGTGGAGGGCTCAAAGGTGCGTGGGCTGGCCAGGTCCCCGCCCCACTCCAGCGTGGCCCCCGCGTGCCCTCGGCACTGTCCAGCTGCTGCGCGGTGGCCAGACCTGAGTGATTCGTGTTCCCGGGACCCCGGAAGGTGCGTGTTTTTGCTCTTGCTGGGTCCCAGGCCGACCACGACTGGGAGCGTCCACGCTGCGTCCCTCGCTACGGCAGCAGCCCTGAGGGGGCCGGCAGGAGCACTGCTGGTCAGGTGGGAGGGGGCTGGGTGGAACACACAGACACGCACAGACACACGGACACAGAGACACCCCGAGACACAGAGACACACCGAGACACACACACTGACACACACAGGCTCATGTAGACACACAGACACAGAGACACACAGTTACAGAGACACAGACAGAGAGACACAGACACACACAAATACACAGACGCACTGACTCACATAGACACAAAGACACACAGAGACACACAGATACAGAGACACAGAGACAGAGAGACATACAGAGACACACAGATACACACAGACGCACACAGACACATGGACACAGAGACACACAGACACAGAGACACAGAGAGACACACAGACACAAACACACAGAGGCAGACACACAAAGAGAGACATACACTGACATAAACAGACTCACATAGACACACAGATACAGAGACACACACAGACACACAGACTCATGCAGACGCACAGGTACAGAGACACACAGATACAGAGACACATAGAGACAGAGAGACACACAGAGACACAAATACACAGACACAGTGACTCACATAGACACAAAGACACACAGAGACACACGGACACAGAGACACACGGACACAAACATGCAGAGACACAGACACACAAAGAGAGACACACACTGACATAAACAGACTCACATAGACACACAAACACAAAGAGACATACAGACACACACAGACTCACGCAGACACACAGGTATGGAGACACACAGATATAGAGACACACAGAGACACAGAGAGATACAGAGACGCACAAACACACAGAGACACACAGACATAAACAGACTCACATAGACACACAGACACAAAGACAGACACACAGACACAGACACAGAGAGACACAGAAACACATAGACACACAGACACAGAGAGATATAGAGACACACGCAGACATAAACAGACACACATAGACACACAGACACAAAGACACACAGACACAGACACACAGAGAGATAGAGACACATACAGAGACAAACACAGACACATGGACACAAAGACACACACAACATGTAGATACAGAGACACATACAGAGACACAAAGACACACATACAGACACACAGATGCACACACAGTCACACACAGAGACAGACACATACACAGAGATACACAGACATATACAGACACAGGCACAGACACACACGCGCACACACACACGCACGCACGCACGCCCTGGCTGGGTTCCCGCTCACTTCCCCTCGTTCCTTGCAGCCAGGAAGCACGGACGGCGGCGGCGGCATGGCAGATGGCAGGGAGAGCCCCCGCGTGGGGCCCGGGGAGGTGGCCGAGCCCCCTGGGGACGAGGGCGGGACCCCCGCTGGGGAGCCCTTCCCGCTCTCCTCGCTGGCCAACCTGTTTGAGGGCGACGAGGGCTCCCCCTCGCCCTCCCCGGGGGACGCCGGGCGGCCCTCTGGCCCGGCCGACGGGCGGCCCAACCTGCGCATGAAGTTCCAGGGCGCTTTCCGCAAGGGGGTGCCCAACCCCATCGACCTCCTGGAGTCCACCCTGTACGAGGCCTCGGTGGTGCCCGGCCCCAAGAAGGCCCCCATGGACTCGCTCTTCGACTACGGCACCTACCGCCACCACCCCAGCGACAACAAGCGGTGGAGGAGGAAGGTCTTAGAGTGGGTATCGCCGGGGCCTGCCGCCGGCCGCCGCCTCCACGCGGAGCCCACCCCCCACCCCCCAGCCCGTCCACCCGTCCACTGACACACCCGTCCACCCACCCGTCCGCCCGTCCACCCATCCCCCCACCCCCCCATCCACCCGCTCATTCACCCACCATTTACCCCCTCAAGGACCCACCCTTGACCATTTGGGCCCGAGCACTGCACCGTCCTCTCTAGCTGACCGTGTGGCCTGCAGTTCCCCTTAGACATCACCTTGGAGCCCTCAGAGGAAAGAAACGGGGGTGGGCTGGCGGTGTGTGTGTGTGTGTGTGTGTGTGTGTGTGTGTGCGTGCACACCTGTCCATCTCGTCCGCCTGTCTGCCCCGCACACAGCAGCTCTGGGTCCCCGGGGGCCCCTGCACCACACCTGCCTCTGCAGGTGCCATCCCTGAAACGGCAGCAGGGACCCCAGACAGTTGGGGTGGTGGGTGGTCTGCGCACGAGACCCCCTTCACCCTGCCTCCCCCCGCCCGCAGGAAGCAGCCGCAGAACCCCAAAGCGCCCGCCCCCCAGCCGCCTCCTGTCCTCAAAGTCTTCAACCGCCCCATCCTCTTCGACATCGTGTCCCGGGGCTCCACCGCCGACCTGGACGGGCTGCTCCCCTACCTGCTCAGTCACAAGAAGCGCCTGACCGACGAGGAGTTCCGGGGTGAGTTCTGGGGCCAGGAGGAGGACTGACTTGGGGGTGCCCCCCACCGCCCACCAACCTCAGCGCTTACTCAGGGTGGCACAGAGCTGGGAGTCAGTCCTGTGTGTCCTTTGCCCCGTTACTTAACCTCTCTGGGCCTTTTCTGCTTCACCCCTGCACTCGACTTTTATGCCAGGGTCAGTGTGAAAAGTAAATTGAGTCCGTCCACCTGCACCACGTAGGAAGACTGGTCCTCTCCGAGCCTCAGTTTCCCACCCCCCCATTATGAATTGGGCTCAATGTGACATTTGGGGGGTCAGAGAACAGAGGATTCTCTAGTGTCGAGCACCACACAGTTGGGGGCCTGGTAGCCCACCTGCTCTGTCTTGGGGGCACCCCGAGCGGTCCCAGTGTCTGCGTCAGCTTCCAGGCGCCACCGTGTCCAGCGGTCAGCTTTCCTTTTGCTTTCGGGAATATATTGTTCCTTTTTGGCCGTGAGGCTGCATCTGGCGTGGTTGATTGGCTACTTTCAGTTCCTTCCTGGCTGGACTCTCTGGACTCTGGGATCACGCAGAGTCAGGGTTCAAACCCAGATGGCCCAGGTGGGCTTCCTCTCTGAAGCCCCCGCACACCTCCAGCCCCGAACCTGTCTGCCAGAGTTTGGCCCCAAAGCCCACCTCAGGGAACCCCACCCCGCCCGACACCCCGCCTCCCTGCAAATTGAGGAAGTTGGCCCGTGGGTCCCCCCTTGGCGAGATAAACAGGGGTCTGGACGCCCCCACAATGTGCGACGTCAGGACCTATCTCAGAAAGGCCGTCTCTCTGCTCCCCCCGTGTCTTAAGAAGCTTCCAGAAGCGAGAGGGGCCGTGGAGGCATTTTCTGAGGCTTCAGACACTTGGCAGAAAGCAAACACCCGCCCGGCAGACCGAAGCACGGGGTTTTGTTGACGTTTTTTTTTTTGCTTTTTGGGTCACACCTGGCGATGCTCAGGGGTTACTCCTGGCTCTGCACTCAGGAATAGTGATGGTGGTGGTGCTCGGGGGACCATATGGGATGCCGGGGATCGAACCCAGGTCGGCTGCGTGCAAGGCAAACGCCCTACCCGCTGTGCTATTGCTCCGGCCCCCTGTTGACGTCTTTTGATTTTTGCTTCGGGCTCACCCCCGTCCGTGCTCAGGGCTCATTCCTGCTTTTTGTTCTCAGGGGTCACTGCTGGTGGGGCTGGGGGGACCGTATAGGTGCTGGGAATCAGGCAAGTGTCCCGCCTGCTGCTTTCGGGCCTCACCCGGCTGCCCCTGTGGATTCTTCTAGCCAGAGAGTCTCATGATTCCCAGAGGGGCTGTCACCAGCCCTCCTTGTCCCCCAGAACTGGACAACCTTCAGTTCGACAACTGAATCAGCACCCACGGGCAGGGTTGCATCGCCACCTGGTGGTCGCGCCCTGTCACTGCATAGCCCATTCCGTGCCTGGGGACCCAGGCTGACGGGCCCCTCACTGCTGTAACCTGAGCACAGAGCAAGGGGTAATCCTGAGCACAGCCAGGGGCCCAAAACAGCAGCAAAAGAAACAGTTCCTGGGGGGCTTCAGAGTGGGCTGGAAAGGCTGGAGCACAGTCCGGGCAGCCTCGAGTTTCAGTGACCCTGCACCATGTAGGGCACCCCGGTACAGCTGGAGGTGGCCCTGGTGTGTGTGTGTGTGTGTGTGTGTGTGTGTGTGTGTGTGTGTGTGTGTGCAGCACTGCCGACCTGAGCATCACGTTCTCTGGGCTGTGGGTCCAGCTGACTTGGCGGGGAGGAGCATGTGGGTTCCCTGAGCGTTTCTTGGAAGGCTGCGAAGAAAGTCATTCTGTGGGACTGGCGAGGTGGTACAGAGCGTGGCCTGCATGTGTGAGACCTGGGTTCGGTTCCCGACACAGAAGGGAGGGAGGGAAGGGGAGAGAAGAGGAAGGAGATGAAAAGCCTTCACCGCCCCCCCGGGGGCTGCGGGCCAGCAGGACAGAGGAAGGGGCCAGGGCGGACGCTGGTCCTGGGAGTGTCACTGCTGGGGGTGCCTGGAATAGAATGGGGGTCTCTGTGGGGGTTCCCACAGCCCCCCACCCTGGGGTCTGCATTCAGGGAGGGGCTCCCAAAGCAGCACCAGTGTGGTCATAAGGGCAGTGGTCGTCATTACTGATTGCTAAAACTCAGTATTTTTTTTTTAATAATGTAGGAGTACTGCTATTTGGTCAGCCATTGATTTTTTTTTCTTTTTGGGTCACACCCGGCGATGCACAGGGGTTCCTCCTGGCTCTGCACTCTGGAGTCACTCCTGGCGGTGCTCAGGGGACCATATGGGATGCTGGGGATTGAACCCGGGTCGGCCGCGTGCAAGGCAAACGCCCTACCGGCTGTGCTATCGCTCCAGGCCCCTGGTCAGCCATTGATTAAGCAGATTGAACTGGGCATGAGTATTGGGGAAACCGTCTGCCATAGAGGCAGGGTGAGGACTGGGGTGTGGGTGGTGGAAATTTCATGAAATGAAAATGAAATGAACTGGGCATGAACCCCACAGTACTTTTTTATTTTATTTACCACCATGAGGTCGAGTTGCAAAGCCTGCATGCTTGAGATTCAGCCGTACGGTGACGGGACGCCCACCCCTGCACCAGTGCACATTTCCACCACCCACAGCCCAGTCCTCACCCTGCCTCTATGGCAGACGGTTTCCCCAATACTCTCTCTCTGACTTGGGGCCTTACGTTTTGCGTGAACGTTCCCACCACCATCCAAGCCTACCTGCCGGGGCAGACGCCAGATGCTTTATCTTCCATTGCTCATTTTTGAAGATCACAAGAGGTGGCGTGGCTGTGGTTGTAAGTGTGGATTTCTGAATTGCAAATGGTGGGGTTCCAGAGACATCTCTGGAAGGCACTAATCCATTCTGGGATCCAGTTTTGTTGAATCTCTCTCCCCGGCCCCAGGCCGGCCAGCGAACACCTGCCTGAGCTCATCCATTTCCTTTTGTGGCCCCAATTTTTGCCGGAAGGGAAACGGGAGCCCAGACCTGGTCGCAAGGGTGGAGACGGCTCAGAGGGCTGGAGCGCGTCCTTCGCTTGTCCAAGTCCGTGGTTCAGTCTCTGCGGTACCACATGGTCACCTAGTGCCTAGTACCTAGAACCTATACCTAGTGCCTAGTACCCGGCACTGCCAGGGGTAGTTCCTTCCCAGGGGAAGCAAACGGTCCCTAAGCTGCAGTGAACAAGTCCGACCCGACTCCCTGAGGCAGCTCAGCCCGCCCGTTCCGATCCCGTTTCTGCCTCCCCTCCTTTTGGAAACTTCAGGGGGGATTTTGGCCTGAGTCCCACGCCTGAGGGCAGTTTTCATCTCATCAACTTTTTTTTTTTTTGTCACACCTGCATGCTCAGGGCTTAGGAATCACTGTTTTGTTTTGGAATCGCAGTGTTTTAAACACAGTTATCAAGTTGTTTGTGATTGGGTTTCAGCTATACAATATTTCCTCACCTGTTGCTTCACCAGTACACATTTCCCACTGCCAAGATCCCCAGTTTTCCTCCCAACCTCCCACCTGCCTCTACGGCAGACACTTTTCTTCTTCTTCTTCTTCTTCTTCTTCTTCTTCTTCTTCTTCTTCTTCTTCTTCTTCTTCTTCTTCTTCTTCTTCTTCTTCTTCTTCTTCTTCTTCCTCTCTCTCTCTCTCTCTCTCTCTCTCTCTCTCTCTCTCTCTCTCTCTCCAGGAATCATCACTCCTGGTGAGCTCGGAGAACCATATGGGATGCTGGGGATCAAACCCAGGTTGGCCGCATGCCTGGCAAGCGCCCTCCCCTCTCCAGCCTCGAGACTCACCCACCCCTGTAAGCTATAAATAAACTCATGTCCCTGTCGAATTAGAAGCAGGGAAAGAAAGTCCCAGAGGAAACAAGTTAACAAGCATTGACGGGACGAGTGAAGGACAAAGAGAGACTAGCTTCATGAGAGATTGCATAACGGGGTGACTTTTGGGGGGTGCACCTTCACTGTCATTGCTGCCCCAGCAGGACCCCCAAAGTCCTCGCTGGGTAATTTCCCAAGGGCTTGAAGCAGCTTTAGGTTGACACATTGGGGAGCGCTATACTTCAGGTTTCCTGTAGGGGGCGCCAGTCTTGCTGCTGGTGGTGATGTGACTATTGGTGGGTGTTCAAATATGGCAAAGACTGTGCCCAGCTTTTATTTATTTGTCATTTCTTTATTTTTATTGAATCATTGTGAGATAGAGCATTATGAAATTGTTCATGGTTGCAGTCATACCGTGTTCCAGCACCCATGCCTCCTCCAGTGTGACTTCCAGCACCCGTGTCCCCAGGCTCCCTCCCACCCCTTCAAGCCACCCCGCACACTGCCCGCTTCTATGGCAGGCGCCACTCTTCTCTTTCCCTCTTTCATTTTGGGCATTATGGTTTGCAATACAGATGCTGGACGGTTATCGAGCACATCCCTTTACCCACTTGAAACTCTCAGTTCTTGTCCAGAGTGATCTCCAACTAGTATTAGGTACCAAAAGTGTCCTGCCCTCACGGCAGAGTCTGGCAAACTTCCCATGTCGTACCCAATATGCCAAATACCAGAAACAATGATGGGTCTCATTCTCCTAATCCTGAAAGGGCATTGAAATGGCTCTTAAAATCTCAAGGAGACGTTACTAGTGCCTGCTCGAGGAAACCGACGAACAACAGGATGACCGTGATCGTGATGGTGATTAGCATAGCGGAACCTCCCCTATCTAAGTGCCCTCCATCTCCCATACCGCGGACATCATTTATCAGTCCTCCTGGCCTGTTTTCCCTGGCCTTGGATATTAGGTTCACACTTTTTTTTAAATCCCACAGATGCAGTCGTTCTCTCTCTGTCCTGACTCCCTTCACTCGGCATGATATGCTCCAAATATATTCCATTTATAGGCAAATGTCATGACTTCATTTCCCCCAACAGTTGCGTAGTATTTCTTTGTTTAGCTGTACCATCGTTTTTTTTTTTATCCGCGTGTCTGTCCTTGGGCACTCGGGTTGTTTCCAGATTCTGGTTCTTGTGAATAGTACTTGTACCTGGTTTTCAGAGGTTCACAGTTGCCTGCAGATTAAGGGCTCTGGCAAATCCTGGTCTAAGAAATCATGGTTGGGGGCTGGAGCGATAGCACAGCGGGGAGGGCGTTTGCCTTGCACGCGGCCGACCCAGGTTCGATTCCCGTAGGGTCCCCTGAGCACCGCCAGGAGTAACTCCTGAGTGCAGAGCCAGGAGGAGCCCCTGTGCATCGCCAGGTGTGACCCAAAAAGAAAAAATAAATAAAAAGAAATCACGGTTGATGTTATTTCCCCCGACCTCCTCATGCATTGGATTTCCAAATTCCCCTCTGCCCCTTGCACCCTGGGGGCAGATGGGGAGAAGGCAAGACTGAGCCAGTCTTCCAGCGAGCTTGAGGTCCGCGCGGGGTGTGTGTGACTCGCAGGCCAGTGCTCCTGCGCCTCGAGGAGCGGCTTATGTGGGTTTGTCTCTGCAGGCTAGGACCGCAGGAACCTCGCCTCTGGGACGCCGCCGCCAGTGACTGCTCGGGGCGGGCTGCTTCGCTGCTTGCTCTCGCTCCTCCTTGCTGTCCTCGGGTCTGCTGCCTGCCAGTCCCGGCTCCGGGTCATCGTCCCCTGAGGACCGGTGGCCGGTCCCTCTGCTGCTACCGCGCCGTCTTCTCTCCCTGTCTTCTCCCGGTGACCTGAAAGCGCGGTCCACGCACCGCCTGCAGGACCCACGAGTCCTCCTCTTTCCACCGCTCCTTGGCGCTCTCTGCCTGGCGCGCTGCATCCTTCGGTACCATCCGCCCCGCCTCCTGCCTCAAGAGCATCCCTAGTCTAGCCCCGCCCCCTTGGCTGTTTCTGCCATCTGATTGGCTGAGCCCATGGACGTGCGCTCCGAAAGGACCAATGGGGTTGCTTGGATGGTGGGCTGCCTCCTGCATCTCCCCTGCGATCGAAAGAAGGGGCCCCAGGCTGAGCGCCTCACAGCCTGGACCTCGCCTCCGCCCCGCAGAGCCGTCCACGGGGAAGACCTGCCTGCCCAAGGCCCTGCTGAACCTGAGCCACGGCCGCAACGACACCATCCCCGCGCTCCTGGACATCGCCGAGCGCACGGGCAACATGCGCGAGTTCATTAACTCGCCCTTCCGGGACATCTACTACCGAGGTGGGTCGCGGGGTGGGGGGCGGGCACCGTCCTGGCTTGCCTGGTGGCCCCGAGAGCTTCAGAGTGGACCTCCCCCTCCCCCCCCCCCCCATGCCAGCCTGCATCCAGGAAGGAGTGGTTGACTGAGTGAGCGGATGACTGGACGGACCAAGGCCCGGGGGCCAGCCTCCAGCTCTGATACTCCGAAACGAGCCTCGGGCCCTGGGAACTAGGCTCCGAGCAGACTTGGGGGTGGGGTGGGACTCTACTTGGCAGTGCTCAGGGATGACTCCTGGCTCTGTGCCCAGGGGATCAGTCTTGGACGTGATCCTGGCGCTCTGGGTGCCAGCGATCAAACCCAGGTGGGCTGCCTGTCAGCCAGCGCCTTCCCCGCCCGCTTCAACCTCTGAAGCATGATGAGTCTGGGGGTGAGGGTGGGGGTCAGGGCCCAGCTCCCGCGCCCCCGCCGAAATGCTGAGATCCAGGCTCTGCCTGCCGCCTTGCCTGGGTCTCTGCCCCTTCCGTGACTGCCCCTGCCCGCCCCAGGCCAGACGGCCCTGCACATCGCCATCGAGCGCCGTTGCAAGCACTACGTGGAGATGCTCGTGGCCCAGGGGGCTGACGTCCACGCCCAGGCGCGGGGACGCTTCTTCCAGCCCAAGGACGAGGGCGGCTACTTCTACTTCGGTGAGGAGGGGCCTGTGTGGGTGGGGGGTTCATGGTGGTGCCAGTAGCCCCGACACCTCCCGGCCTCAGGAGCCACAAAGACCGTGACCCCCCCGCCCTGCCCCCACCCCAGCCCTGTTCTCAGGCCCAGAGTCCCCAAGGCCCCGCCCTGGAGGGGCCCAGTACCGTCTCTCCCTGCAGCCTCTGTGCCCATCTCCCTGGCCTGTGCCGTGCCCTCAAGGCACCCCACATCTGACCCCGGGCCTCGTTGTACCCACCGTACCCAAATTCCACCAGATCATCATCCCACCTTGAATCGTTGCACCCGACTTAACCATATTTCACCAGAGAATCGGCCCTCTTGAATTGTTGTGCCCGGTTTCCAAGTGCCGCCGGCAGCGTTAGATTCAGGGGTTGGAGTGGTAGCGCAGCGGGGAGCGTTTGTTTGCCTTGTAGGCGGCTGACAGGGGTTCGGTCCCTTGGTGCCCTGTACGCTCCTCCGAGCCCGCCAGGGGTGACCCCCAGTGCAGAGTCAGGAGCAAGCCCGAGGGTCTCCAGGTGTGCCCACACCCCCCCAAGTGAAAACAAAAACGAAGCAAAGATTCACGGGAGGTTCCCACCTGCATCTGGAAAGGAGTCGGCGTTGGCTCCGTAAGGACTCTGCAGTGAAGGGCAGCACTCTGACGGCACAGGCCCCCCTCCCCCGCCCAGGACGCGTGCCCTGGGCCCCGGGACAGAGCCCCTCACTGCGTGCATCCACCCCCAGACCCACGGCCACGCCCCGCGGCCGCCCTCGACGCGCCCTGGCTGCCCTGGGTCGCCTCACCGTGTCGCCCGCCCGCCCACAGGGGAGCTGCCCCTGTCGCTGGCCGCCTGCACCAACCAGCCGCACATCGTCAACTACCTGGCCGAGAACCCGCACAAGAAGGCCGACATGCGGCGCCAGGACTCGCGGGGCAACACGGTGCTGCACGCGCTGGTGGCCATCGCCGACAACACGCGCGAGAACACCAAGTTCGTCACCAAGATGTACGACCTGCTGCTGCTCAAGTGCGCCCGCCTCTTCCCCGACAGCAACCTGGAGGCCGTGCTCAACAACGACGGGCTCTCGCCCCTCATGATGGCCGCCAAGACCGGCAAGATCGGGGTGAGCGGCTCGGCCGGCCCGTGCACACATGCACACGCGTGTGCACATGCACACACGTGCGCACATCCGTGTACGCAGAGGCGCGCGCACATGCGTGCGGGTACCACACACACGCACACACCCACACACATGCCCACATGCTATACGCACGCAGGCATGCACACACACAAGAGGGGCTGCTGGTGTTTTCATCACAACAGACACACGCAACACACGCATGCACACGCGCTTTCGGCCTTCCGCATACCCCGCTGTGTGCTTGTGCCCTGACTCGGGGCTCTGATCTCAGGGATTGCTGCTGGTGGTGCTCTGGGGGCCACATCGAGCACCGGGGATGGAGTCTGGGTTGACCACGTGCAAGGCTAAGCACCTTCCCTGCTGTCACTTGGACCCCGGCCAAACAGCTCACCTTTCCCTGGGTCCCCTCTGCAGGCTCGGCCCCCCCAGGACGAGCCACTGAGGTGACACTTGAGGCCCCAGGCTGGGCTCTGAGGGACTCTCCTGGGCCCCGGCTGGACTCTGAGGGACTCTCCTGGGCCCCGGCTGGACTCTGCTGTGTGTGTGTATTTGAGTGTGTATGTGTATGTTTATCTGTGTGAATTGTGTGTATATGGTTGTGTGTATTGAGGGTGTGTGTGTGTGCGTGCGTGTGCACTCTGGTGGCTGGTCCTGGTGTGTAGGGGTCAAAGACCCTCTACTCTGCCACTTCCCAGTGAAGGCCTGTCAGCTCACCTCTCTGTGCCTCAGTTTCCCCTCCTGTATCCCTTCCCGCTATGGTTGGTTCCTTGTCAACCAAATGCTGTGATCTGCCCGGGGGCTGTGGTTCCCTTTTGGCCTCCAGGGTGCTGGGGGTCAGGCCGGGACCAGGCCTGGGCCTCACCAGGGTGCGGCGGGTGCTGTTTCTCAGCCCAGCCCCGCCTTCCCTCCCGCTCCCTCCCAGCTCTTAATGAGAAGCCTGGGACCCAGAGACAGTGCTCCGTAAACAGCAGGGTTCTTACGCTCCTATTACAAACAGAGCGTGCCTGGAGAGGACGAGATGCCAGGGCCCCAGGGAGCGCCAAGGGCTGGGGCTGGCGGTCTGCTTTGCCCCCCAGCCCTGAGCCTGTGGGCGTGGTCAGAGGAAGCGGAGGAAGCTGGTTGTGAGGACGAGGTTTAGCATATTAAAGTGGCTGAGGGCTGGAGCGATAGCACAGCGGCAGGGCGTTTGCCTTGCACACAGCCAACAAGGCCGACACAAGTTTGATTCCCAGCATCCCATAGGGTCCCCCGAGCACCGCCAGGAGCGATTCCTGAGTGCACGAGCCAGGAGTAACCCCTGAGCATCGCCGGGTGTGACCCAAAAAGAAAAAAAAAAAGCAGCTGATGAATCACGGCTTTAATGATAGCAAGAAGAGATTCCTGGCGGTCAGAATCTCAAGACCGGCCTAGGTCAGTCACCTCCGAGGGTTGTGGGGCCCTCGGGGAACACCTGTCCCTCCCCGCCAGGTGTCAGAGTAGATTGTGAAGGTGCAGATGAAACGGGGCGCAGTTACACCTGGGGGAGCACGTGGCTGGTCTGCACAGGGCCCTGGTCCCATCCCCGAACCCCCAGGGATTCTCAAACAGCCCGTGTGTCCCCCCCCAAACAAACAAGAGTGAGAAAGAGGGGCTGGAGCAACGGAACGATGGCAGGGCACTTGCCTGGCGCGTGGCCCACTCAGTTTGATCCACAGCATCCCAGAGGGTCCCCCTGACCCCGCCAGGGGGGATCCCCCAGCAGAGGGCCAGGAGTCAGGCCTGAGCACCACCCCTGAGGGACCCCACCAGAAAGAGTGAGAAAGAAGCACGGGGTGGGAGCCAGAGTGATAGCACAGCGGGGAGGGCGTTTGCCTTGCACGAGGCCGACCCGGGTTCGATTCCCAGCATCCCATAGGGTCCCCTGAGCACCGCCAGGAGTCATTCCTGAGTGCAGAGTCAGGAGGAACCCCTGTGCATCGCCGAGTGTGGCCCAAAAAGTCAAAAAAAGAAAAAAAAACACGGGGTAGAGGCGAAGGCCTGGTGCTGGGCAGAGGCCAGTAAATACTCCCCCTTCGTTCTGCTCCCTGGGGGGAGTTCCTGGGACCCCCTCCCCCGCCCCACTGACCTCCCCTCCGCCTTTGCACGCAGGTCTTCCAGCACATCATCCGGCGGGAGGTGACGGACGAGGACACGCGGCACTTATCCCGCAAGTTCAAGGACTGGGCCTACGGGCCCGTGTACTCCTCGCTTTACGACCTCTCCTCCCTGGACACGTGCGGGGAGGAGGCGTCGGTGCTGGAGATCCTGGTGTACAACAGCAAGATCGAGGTGTGCGGCTGGCCAGGGAGGGGCCGGAAGGGCGAGGGGGAGCAGGGAAGGGCGCCCACGGGGGTCACGCTGGGGGGTGGGGGGAGCCCGGGCCTCTGTGGCCAGGAGCAGTGGGGTGTGACTGCACCGGAAGCGGGAGTGCTTAGCTGGCTCCCCGGGCTGGGGTACGTGCGTGGCGTGGGGTGCTGGGTTCCAGCACCGCAGGGTTCCCCGAACACTTCCAGGAGTGGCCCCCCCCCCCCCGCCCCGCTAAAACTCCTGAGCATTGCCAGGTAGTAACGACCACAAAAAGGAAAGTGGTTGTTACACTCCTTGAACAGCCTCTGGCCCTAGAGGGAAACTGGACGGTAAGGAGGGCGCAGGGGCCAGGGGCCAGCCGCTCTGACCCGGGGCCTGGGCTCCGTTGCCGGCATGCTGTGTGGCTCAGGATCAGTGGCCCAACCTCTCGGAGCCCAGCTCTCTCCTCTCACACGGGCATAAAGAAAGTGCCTTTCGGGGGCTGGAGTGGTAGCACAGCAGGGAGGGCGTTTGCCTTGCATGCCGCGGACCCGGGTTCGATTCCCAGCATCCCATAGGATCCCCGAGCACCGCCAGGAGTAATTCCTGGGTGCAGAGCCAGGAATAAACTCTGCGCATCACTGGGGGTGCCCCCCAAAAAGATAAAGTCTCTTTCTCCGTCAGCCAATGACATGATCTCAGGGCGCCTGGCACCGTGCAAGCATTTGCATTGGCGTCTCATTCGTGGTCCCGTGTGCAGTTCCGAGAGCCCTCTGTGTTCACTCGGCAGTGTTTTCTGAACGCCGTTCTGCACCATTAAATATTCTTCTGCAATATCATTACAGCCTGTAAATGTACCACGTTCTAATTAGCCGTTCCTCGGTGCCCGGTCATTTGGGTCTGTTTCTGCCTCTAGCAGGACTAATACGGCGGCAGCATCTTCCTGGCTGTGCCATCACTCAAACCCATGGTTATGCAGACACGCGCGTCTTTAAAGGGACAGGAGGCGGCTTCAGGACGTCTGGGGCTGGGTGTGGGGCAGGTTAGGGTTGCCTTCCCCAGCCGGGGCGCACCTCCCACACCTGGGACACTCGTGACCAGCGGGATTTGGGGCAGGGCTGGTAGGAGGTGTCGCATCTCGGATGCAAACTGACGGCTCGGTCCGCCTTTGGGAGGACTGTTGGAATGGGGTGCGTGGGGCTCGGTTATTGACGTCTGCCGTAGCTTCAGGAGGGGAGAAGCCTCTTGAGTCAAACTATTCTCGGTCAAGCCCCACTGCCCAAGTCAAGATGCCTGAATGTGGGGCCCGGGCGTGTTCCTAGCAAGCTCCACGCGTGGGTGATTTGGCTGCCAGCAGCGAGTCTGGATTCTGAGTCCAGGGAGGCTGGAGAGGCGGTTGGAGGCCGGGAAGGCGAGCCCAGGGCTCTGGGTGTGAGCGGGGCTCGGGGTCCCCCCCCCCGACGCGCCTGCAGCTTTCCTGGTGGGGCGAAGTCTTGTCGAAGCCGGTGAGCAGGATGAGAGAGAGGGGAGAGAGCGAGGGGCGCGAGTCTGCGAGAGAACCCGGGTCTCTCCAGGGAGCCGAGGGCCACCCAGGGCCGGGCGAGGTCTGGGCCGGGCGGACGTGGCTGAGGGTGGGGGGGGTCCCTGGTGGGGGGGGGGGCTCTTCGCGGGCAGAGACGGGGGCGCCGCGGGGTCAGCCGCCTGGGTCCGTCCGTCCCCGCAGAACCGCCACGAGATGCTGGCCGTGGAGCCCATCAACGAGCTGCTTCGGGACAAGTGGCGCAAATTCGGGGCCGTGTCCTTCTACATCAACGTGGTCTCCTACCTGTGCGCCATGGTGGTCTTCACGCTCACCGCCTACTACCAGCCGCTCGAGGGCACCGTGCGTGAGGCCCGGGGGCGAGGCGGGGGGGGGAGGGGGAGGCTCCCCGGCCCAGACGTCGACCGCGCGCATGGGCGGGCACCTAAACCTGGGGCCCAGCTGGGCAGGGCTGCCTGACGCCGGGGCCCCTGTGTGCCGCAGCCGCCGTACCCTTACAGCACCACCACGGACTACCTGAGGCTGACGGGCGAGGTCATCACGCTCCTCACCGGGGTCCTGTTCTTCTTCACCAGTGTGAGCCCTCGCCCTCCTCCAGTGCTCCCTCTCCTCCTCCCCCTCCTCCCCAACCTATCCTCCCCTCCTCCTCTCCCCAGGAGCTCCCCTTGCCCCCTCCTTCCCCCCACCCTCTCCACCTCCTCCTATGCCCCCGCTCTTTCCCTCCTTCTCCAGCCTGGTGTTTCCCTCTGCTCTTTCCTAGCAGATGACTCCTTCGTCCTCTCTCTCTCTCTCTCTCTCTCTCTCTCTCTCTCTCTCTCTCTCTCTTTCTCGACTCTCTCCTGATTTCTGGGTCTCACCCGGCGGTGCTCAGGGAGCACTTCCTGTCTGGTGGTTGGAGATCGTGCCCTGCGATCCTTGGGGAACTGTGTGGTGCCAGAGATGGAACGTTCCCCCCCGTGCAAAGCAAGCCCTCAGCCCTCTGGGGCCCCTCGTCATCTCTTCCGTGTCCTACAGCCTGCTCCCTCTCTGCTCCGCTGTCCTCCCCCTCCCGCCCTCCTTGCTGTGCTCCTCATGACCCCGTCCTCCCTCCCCACCCTGCCCTCCTCTCTGCAGCCCCCTCCCCCGGCCCCACCCGCTCACGTGCCTCCTTGCTGCTTCCAGATCAAGGACTTGTTTATGAAGAAGTGCCCGGGCGTGAATTCCCTCTTCGTGGATGGCTCCTTCCAGCTGCTCTAGTGAGTCTGGGGGTGGCTGCCCGGGGGAGCGGAAGGTGGTGGGCTGGGCTGAGGGGTCGCCCAGACTGGGGGAGCAGGGGCCTGAGTCCTCATGGGAGGCGTGCCTCCATCCCCCCACACGGCAGTAGCGCAGGGTCAGCACAAGGCCAGTACTGAGTACTGAGCCTTCAGCTTGGAGCCGGCTTCCAGCCAGTTAGACAATCAGCGCAGGCGGAGACACTCAGCCTCTTCTCCGGGGCTGGCCTGCTGACGTCTGCCGGCGCCTGGCCGAGAAGCGTCCTGAGGCTGCATCTGCTCGGGAGTGCTGGGCCAGATTAATGATGTCTAGCGAGTGCTGGACTAGATTAGTGATGTCTGCCCCGGGCGCAGCTGCTGGTGGTGGTGGCTCACCACTTGAGCTGGGAACGAGGAAATTCTCTCAGCCACCACGCGGCCTGCACCGAGTCCCAGGCATCTTGCTCTGGCAGCTCCAGTATGCAGACCCTTGAGATCACAGTGGCCAACACAATTCACGGTTGCCTCAGTTGGCAGTCGCTCGAGGGTTCTGGGTTAAGAGGCTGCTGGGGAGCCCGGAGAATCAGCCTTGTCTCACTGGGGGCGGGCAGGAGTGGGGGCGTCCAGAAGATATGGTGGTGACGTGGGGCTCGGTCTCCCTCCCCTCCCACCCTCCCGTGCCCGGTAGCTTCATCTACTCGGTGCTGGTCATCGTCTCGGCCGCCCTCTACCTGGCGGGCATCGAGGCCTACCTGGCCATCATGGTCTTCGCCCTGGTCCTGGGCTGGATGAACGCCCTTTACTTCACCCGTGGGCTGAAGTTGACGGGGACCTACAGCATCATGATCCAGAAGGTACCAGGACTCTGGGGAGACCCGCACGCCCCCTGGGGTGCAGTCAGTGCCGTGGGCGGGGCATGCGGGGTCCTGGTCGGCGGGGAAACCTCCTCCACGTGTCTCCCCACCTTTCTGCCCCTGCTGTGACCCCGCTGGGGTCTCTAGATCCTCTTCAAGGACCTCTTCCGCTTCCTGCTGGTCTATCTGCTCTTCATGATCGGCTACGCCTCAGGTGAGCTCTGGGTGTCTGGCGGGGGCGATGCGGGGCCAGGGTTTGGGGGTGCCACGGGGTGAGGGGCAGTGACCAGAGTCGGTGTGGTGGGCCCTGGGCTTGCCATCCCTGCCTCGTGCGATCCATCCATGTCTGGAAGGTCATCCTCCACGTCTAGAAGGTCAGTGCCTTCATCTCTCTTGCCTACAAATAAGGAAACAGGATGAGAAAGGTCCACTCGCCCTCTCAAGGCCAAGTTGGTGTGTGAGCTGTGGTTGCAGAAGCAGCGGCCCAAAGCAGCGCTCGCTCACGATGGCTTGCAAGACGTCCTGGCAGCACATCTGCCAGCCCGGGCCAGCCTGGGCTGATTCCTTTTTCCTTTTGATTTGGAGGCCTTATCATTGTGGGCTGGAGCGATAGCACAGCGGGTAGGGCGTTCGCCTTACAAGCGGCCAACATGGCCGACCCGAGTTCGATTCCTCCGCCCCTCTCGGAGAGCCCGGCAAGCTACCGAGAGTATTCGATACGCCAGATACAGTAACAACAAAGTCTCCAATGGAGACGTTACTGGGCCCGCTCGAGCAAATCGACGATCAACGGGAGGGCCTTTACCTTTATCATTGTGGCGTCACATCCCAGCAGTGCTCGGGGGTCACCAGCGCTCTGCTGGGCTTGTGCTTTGTTCTCTGGGCCTCGTCCCCGTGCCAGAGACTCGGATGGTGTTTCTGCCCAGACAGCCGCTTGGCTGCCAACTGATCTGACTCACGACGGTGGTCTGGGCGGAGGTCACTGTGTTCCGTTCCACTTGGTCACTCTTGCTCCAGCCGGCCAGCTTGGGCTTTGTCCACCTGGGGACGTGAGTGTTGCTCCAAGAATCCCAGTGGACATGTTCAAGCCCCGGCCTGGCACGGGCTGTTCCTCCTGCCTCATTTTGTGAGTCCAAGTCAGCTGCCTTGGGTCCGAGTACGGAGTCAGGCTCTGCCTCTGCGTGGGCGGTGCTGGCCGTGGCGGAAGGGTTAGGGTAACACAGAACCATCGCTTGGGCCTTCACCACACCTGCTGGCACTCAGGCTACTCCACATCAGGGCGTGGGGTGACTGCAGGTGCTGGGGTGCCCGGGATGCAAACAGGGTTGGCTACCGCGAGGCCGGTGCCTTCCCTCCTGTCCTGGCTCTCTAGCACAGTCTAGGTCTGTGTGTGCGTGTGTGCGTGTGTGTGTGTGTGTGTGTGTGTGTGTGTCCACACCTGGTGATGCTCAGGGCTTACTCCTGGCTCTGCACCCCAGAATCACTCCTGGTCGTTCTCAGGGGACCGCATGGGATGCCGGGGATCAAACCTGGGTTGGCCACATGCAAGGCAAACGCCCTGCCTGCTGTACTACTGTTCTCGGCCCAGTCCAGTTTTTATTATTTTTTTAAATTTTGCTTTTTTGGTTTTTTTTTTTTTTGAGGGGTGGACTTGGTAGAGATCAAATCTGGTGGTACCTGTGGAGTATTCCCAGTTCAGTGCGAGGGGCTCACTCCTGGCCGGGCCCAGGGGACCATGCATGCTGGAGACAGGCACAGCCTCCCACCCTCAGGCCACTGAGCTCTCTCTAGCATCAGCCCAGCTCTCTTAAAACTCCACCTCGGGGCCTGGAGTGAAGGTACGCTGGGTACAAGGCACTGCCCTCGCCTGCCTTGATCTGGGTTCGACCCCCGGCACCCTCTAGGATCCCCTGAGCCCCACCAGGGGTCATCCCTGAGCACAGAACCAAGAGTAAGCCCCAAGCACTGCCGGCCGTGACTTCCAAACCAAAATGAAAACGAAAGCTTCAGGTTAGCTGCCGCCACCAAGCTTTTTCCTCAGTGCCCGAGATCAGTGGCACAGGCCACGGGGAAAGGACCGGGGCCGGGAAACGGAGCCCCCGGGCCTCTCCGCACAGTGGGAGGAGCTGCCACGCCCAGCTCTGGTTCCCCAGGCCAGCAGTGCTCAGGGAGCACCCGGGATGCTGGCGATGGGAGAGGATTCTCCATCCGGGCCCCCCGCCACCTCCGCTGGCCCGTCCATCAGATGCCAGCGTCCCCCCCTCGCCCCTTGGCCGGCGCCTCCCACTCAGTCCGCGCCCCTCCCTCCCCCAGCCCTGGTCTCCCTCCTGACCCCGTGCTCCAGCATGAAGGCGTGCAGCGCGGACCACAGCAACTGCACGGTGCCCACGTACCCGTCGTGCCGGGACAGCGAGACCTTCAGCGCCTTCCTGCTGGACCTCTTCAAGCTGACCATCGGCATGGGAGACCTGGAGATGCTGAGCAGCACCAAGTACCCCGTGGTCTTCATCGTCCTGCTGGTCACCTACATCATCCTCACCTTCGTGCTCCTCCTCAACATGCTGATCGCCCTCATGGGCGAGACGGTGGGCCAGGTCTCCAAGGAGAGCAAGCACATCTGGAAGCTGCAGGTGACCCCCCGCCCCTTCCCTTCGGGCCAGCCCCGGCTCCTCCTCGTCCCGCCTCCACCTTTCTGTCTGGAAAATGGGTCTTTTCGTTGGGGGGGCACACCCAGCTGTGCTCAGGCCTTACTCCTGATTCTGTGCTCAGGGATCATTCCTGTGGGGGTAGTGGGGGGCGGGGGGGCTGGAGGGGTGCTCAGGGCAGGCCCCCCCCTCCCGCTGAGGAGCCGGGCTGAAGTGCCACATGCAAGGCCTCAGTTACTGTAACTGTAACAGTAACTCCACACTGTAACTGGGTCTTTTTTTTTTTTTCTTTTTGGGTCACACCCGACAACGATGCACACGGGTTACTCCTGGGCTCTGCCACTCAGGAATTACTCCTGGCAGGGCTCGGGGGCCATATGGGATGCTGGGAATCGAACCCGGGTCGGCCATGTGCAAAGCAAATGCCCTACCTGCTGTGCTATCGCTCCAGCCCCTTAATAAATAATTTATTTATTTTTTGCTTTTTGGGTCACACCCGGAAAATCACAGGGGTTATTCCTGGCTCTGCACTCAGGAATCACTCCTGGCGGTGCTCAGGGGACCCTATGGGATGCTGGGAATCGAACCCGGGTCGGCCACGTGCAAGGCAAACGCCCTCCCCGCTGTGCTATCGCTCCAGCCCTGTAACTGGGTCTTGAGGGCTGAAGGGGCTTCCCAGCAGGAAGCAGTTAACGCGGAATTTGAAAGTGAAGCCCTCTGGGATGAGAGCAGCTTCCTTACCTGGCGAAGGAGCCCCCAGCCTGCAGGGCTCTGGGGCACAGGGTCCGGAAATGCCCTCGGGCCCGTGCCCACCCGTCCCCTCTCTGCATGCGTGTCCCGGACGCCGGCTGCTGTCAAGCCCCCGCTGGCGTCTGGGGCCCTGAGCCCGCTTCTGGCCACGGCGAGGGCTGGACACCCCGGTCCTCAGCCTGCCCTGCCTGCACGTGGGGGTGTCTGTACCGCGACGGCGGTGGTCACCAGTGTCCCCCTCCCCCAGTGGGCCACCACCATCCTGGACATCGAGCGCTCCTTCCCCGTGTTCCTGCGCAAGGCCTTCCGCTCCGGCGAGATGGTGACCGTGGGCAAGAGCTCGGATGGTACCCCTGACCGCAGGTGGTGCTTCAGGTGAGGGGCGGGGCGCCCCCCCCCCCGAGGGTGCCTGGACACTGTGACGTGGGACCCCCACGAGGCGGGTTTCAGAGCAGGCCAGCTCCCGAGGGCAGAGGACACAGGGGCCCGGAGGCTGGGGGAGCGGTCGGGCTGCTGAGTGGGTGATTCGTGGTGTGGGGGGTCACAGATTGATGCTCGGGGGACGGGCCGTGTGCTCCAGCCCTTTGAGCCCCCTCCCCGGGCCGGCCCAGAATGACCCCCCAACGGGTGGGGTGGCGATGGGAAACGAGAGAGGGGTGGCCTAGTCCCCAGACCCCTGCTCTGAAACCACTGGAACAACAAACTCTTGTGGGACCGATGTCAGCTAGAGAAGGAGGAGGCAGGGGTGGGCTGGGACGCTGGAGCCGGGGGGCTGCCTGGGCGGCTCCCCTCGAGCCTCCCTGTGCTGTGGCCCTGCCAGGGTGGACGAGGTGAACTGGTCTCACTGGAACCAGAACTTGGGCATCATTAACGAGGACCCGGGCAAGAACGAGACCTACCAGTACTACGGCTTCTCACACACCGTGGGCCGCCTCCGCAGGGGTGAGCAGGGGTGGGGGCGGGAGGGAGAAAGCAGGGGGGCGGGGGGGGGCGTGGAGAGGGAGCCCTGCCCCACCTCCCTCCCTAGCTTCTGGCCTGCTTTGAACAGCCCGCCCCCTCTCCGGGACTCGGTGTTCGTGTCTGTGGAATGGGCTGGTGTTTTGCTGTGTTCCCCCCCGCCCCCCGCCAACCCCCTGCCACGACCCCGCTGCACTGAGGGCATGTGAGGCGAGGACAGGCCATGCCGGTGTAGCTGATGGGCTGCTCATCCTTCCCTTTGCCGCCGGTGCTCGTCTTCGCCATCCTGGGCCCCGGTTTCCACCTCTGTAAAATGGGCACGTTCCCCTGCCTCCCACGGATCCCTGCGAAGCGTCTGTGGTTTCTGTGGCAGGCTTGTGGATCCCGCGTCAGGCCCGTGGATCCCTGTGGATCTCCATGGTGGGCCCGTGGCTGTCCGTGGCTGGCCCGTGGACCCCCCCACCGTGGCAGGGCCTGACCCCGCACTCGCTGTCACGCTCACACCCGCTGCATCGTGTGCCCCGCAGATCGCTGGTCCTCTGTGGTGCCACGCGTGGTGGAACTGAACAAGAACTCCAGCCCCGACGAGGTGGTGGTGCCCCTGGACCACGTGGGGAACCCCAGCCACGACGGCCACCGGCAGAGTGTCCCCCACAAGTGGAGAACGGACGACGCCCCCCTCTAGGGGCTGCGGCTGGGGCAGCCCCTCCCCTGCCCGTTCCTGGCCCACCTGCGTTTCAGAGGTGCCCTCCGGGGCGTCCCCCCGCTCCCCGCCCGCCCCCAGGGGTGAGGGCTAGACGGAGATGCCGAGAGGCCCCAGGACCCTCTGGCCCCCAGGTTCCTGCCCGCCCTGTGCACCCCTGGGCCGTCTTACTCCCATGGAGTCACATAGGCCAACGCCGGGCTGTCCCGCCGGGTGGGGTGCAGACCCCGCCCTGCCTCTATTTATTGTTCTGCTCTCTGGGCAGCAGCGTGACGCAGTCCCGCTTCCCTTCCGGCGGCCCCTGCGCCCGCACCCCAGCCTGTGGGCCCCCCCGCCCACACCCCTGCGCCGGTCACCCTGTGCCCGCACCTTCGCGCCCCCCTCCCCCGGCCCAACAGCTGGGGGGCTGGCGCGGGTGGGGCCACGCCTGCCGTGTGTCGTCGAGGGGCTGTCCCCTAATAAACATTCGTTGCGGACGGCGAGACGGTCCGGCTGTTAACGGGCAGAGGCATGCTGGACGGGGATGATGGGGGGACGGGGAGGATGGGCAGGGAGGCTGGTGGGAGTGACGGGGTGACGATGTGATGGTGGAGAAGGAGATGGGGCTGGCGGGGTGAGGCCTGTGGGAGCAGGACCCCGGGGGAATAAGACCCTGGAAGAGGCAGTCGTGGGGCAGGAAGGCTGTGAGGGGGGAGGGGGGGTGGAGGTGACCTCAGGAGCGGGGCTGGGGCCCCCAACTTCCCAAGTGCCCGTATCCCTTCTGTTTTGGGGTTTGGTTGGGGGGCCACACCTGGCTGTGCTCAGGGGCAACTCCTGGCTCTGTGCTCAGGAATCTCTTCCAGTAGGACTTGGGGGACCATAAGGGTGTGCTGGGGATGGAACAGGGTCAGCTGTCTCGGCTCCTGACCCATGTCCCTCTGTGTTGCCTTCCAGGGGACGAGTCTTTTCCCCTGGTCCACTGATGTCCCAGCTTTCCTTGGGGCTTGGGGGTCCTCATGCCTTTAGAAGCAACACAGAGAGAGACAGAGACAGACACAGAGACAGAGGCAGAGGCAGAGACAGAGAGATAGAGAGATACAGACACAGAGACAGAGCGACAGAGACAGAGTGTGTGTGTGTGTGTGTGTGTGTGTGTGTGTGTGTGTGTGTGTACGCATGTGTACAAAGGGACGCAGTAACTCAGATATCAAAGTGAATGCTTAAAGCCTTCATTTTTTACTTTCATTTTTGGGGGCTACACCCTGCGATGCCGGGAATCATTTGGCAGGTGCTCAGGGGACCGTGTGGTGCTGAGGATCGAATAATCCTGGACCCCTACTGCAAAGCATCACTTCAGCCTGTTGGGCAGTCTCCCCAGCACCGTAATTTTTTTCACACAATGAAGTAACTGTAAGCAAGGCACTCTTACCTCTGCCTCTATTTTTAAGCTAAATATTGGGTAGGAGCTCTCTCGACGCTTTTCTGGGTCTTTGATGGATGGGGCACTGGTTGCAAGTAAAAAAAAAAAAGAAAAACTCTCAAGGTACTGGAATTTAAAATGTTTTCGAGTCACTCAAATATCCTGTTACAGTAATTCCTTAAAAATGACAGTCCCTGTGCCCTCCGGAGAGTGGGACATGCCTGAGATGAGCCCATGGACCTTAAGGGACATGGAACAGTCACTCCGTGGTTCCCCACAGTGCCAGGGGCTGAGCTGACAGCTGACATGTGCTCCACCACGTGTGCAAGCACGTCCGGTTACAGGCTGGCCCGTGCCTGGCAGGTGGCCAATCCCAGAACCTCCCTCGGTCCCCTGAGCACCTCCAGGAATGACCACCAGCACTGTAGGTGTGGTCCAAACCCAGCCCCCCACTTCATGTTGTGCACATTTACACTTTTGAGTGAAGAGGGAGCTTTCAGTGCTTGGGCCCCGTTTCCTGGTGATGCTCAGGGGGCCACGTGGAGGTGGGGTCCAGCCTAGCGCCTCCCACTCGCCAGACCTGCTGCTGCCACCCAGGGCCCCCCAATCCTCTCACTAAGCAAAGCCTGAGGTGGGACGGAGTGACAGTCCAGCGGTATGGCGTTTGCCTTGCACGCGGTTGACCTGGGTTCAATCCCTGGCATCCCCTAGGGTCCCCCAAGCACTGCCAGGAGTAATTCTTGAGTGCGTGAGGAACCCTTGAGCGTCGCCATGTGTGACCCAAAAAGAAAAATTTAGAAAAACCCGAGTCTATGAGGCTCTGAAGGGCAGAGTTAGAGGCGCAGGCTAGGCCGTTGCCAGGGGCACAGGGATGCTGACACCTGCCCGGCGGCGACTCCAGGCCTCACCTTCTCGTTCACTGAGCCTGACCAGTGTTGGCCAGCCCTGGGGGCCTTGCTGGACTCACTCAATCACTCGGTTTTTGATTTTTTTTCACTGTTTGGGTCGAACCCGGTGAGCTCAGAGGTTTCTCCTGGCTCTGCACTCAGGAATCACTCCTGGCGGTTCTTGGGGGACCCTGTGAGATGCCAGGGATCGAACCTGGGTCGGTTGCTTGCCAGGCAGACGCTCTCCCCGCTGTGCTGTGGCCCCAGCCCCTCCCTCAGAGGCTTGTTTCTGCAATGGGAGGGGAGCGATGAGCCTGGAGGACCACGCGGGCCGGGAGCTGAGGCCGAGCCAGACTTGAGGAGAGCAGAGCGACCCCCAAAGGCACGTGAGAGCACAGTCCTGTCTGCCGCCCTGGGTTGTGACTTTTGGGGGGGTTCGGGTACAACTGCAGACTTTGAATTCGTAGCCATAGCCAATGGACACAAGCACTAGAAAAACAGCTGCAGGAAAGAGAAGGGGAAGTTGGGGCTGGGGCCAGAGTGACAGTCCAGCGGGGAGGGTGCCTCTGCCCGGCACGTGGCTGACCTGGGTTCGATCCCCGGCATCCCATAGTGTCCCCTGAGCACAGTCCTCAGGAGTGATTCCTGAGCACAGAGTCAGGAGTAACCCCTGAGCATCACCGGATGTGGCCCTCTCCACCTCTCTCCTCGACAAAAAAAGTGGAGACTGGGCAGGCCCCAGACCGTGGCAAGAACTGTTGTGTTTTTATTATTATTATTATTATTATTTTTGCTTTTTTGTGTCACACCCAGCGATGCTCAGGGCTGACTCCTGGCTCTGCACTCAGGAATCGCTCCTGGCGGTGCTCGGGGGACCCTATGGGGTGCTGGGAATTGAACCCGGGTTGGCCGCGTGCAAGGCAAACACCCTACCCGCTGTACTGTCGCTCCAGCCCTTGTTGTGTTTTTAAAGATGGAAACGGGGGCTCAGAGAGGTGAAGACTCTTTGGCACTTGGCTGGTTGGTGCTGTTGGTACTGTGGGATTTGTACCCTGAGATCCCTTCGTGGGTCAAACCACCTGGTCCTCGAGGGGTTTGGGGCGATGAGGCCCAGACAGGACTGTCCAGCGAAGGCCCTGCCCATCTCCTGCCCTTTCCCCTGGGTCCCTAAGGCTGTCCAGCCCCACTCAGCACCCTCTCCCTTTGCACGCACCGCCCAACTTCAGAGGGGATGCCGGCTTCTCATGATGTGTGTGTGTATTTAATAATGATAAAGTACTTGTATGTCATATTTGACAGGAGGGCTTTTTTCAGCCCAAGTTTAAAGCACTACTGGGAAATAATTAGAGCGACTGGAGGGAAAAACAAAGGGAGCCCATCAGAAAAGACAGTCTCTGGAACTCGGGGATCTTAATTGAACAATTACCTCTTATGCCTATGAATAGTTCATTATTACATGCCCTGTTATTATTAGCTGTTATTATTGTTTTAGATGAATGTAGGATTTTTTTTTAATCAAAAGCCATTTTCAGCCTGTTCATCTCCCCCCGTGCATGCTCTGACATTTCCAAATGGCACATGTGGCCATGGGAGTGAGTTTTCATACCGCGCAGTGACGGAGGTCTTCTGATGGGGCTGTTTTTTTGCCGGCCTCGTCGAACGCTCTGGGTCTCGGTCCATTCCGTTCTTATTTCATTTTTGACTTCTCGACAGGAACATTTGCCCAAGAATCAAACGCTTCCTTTTTGTTCTTGTTGTTTGGTTTGTTTCTGGGCCACACCTGGTGGTGCTCGGGGCTTATTTGCGGATCAAACCTGGATCTCCGGCGTAGAAGACAAGTCCTCCACCCACAGTCCTGCTGCTCCACTCCCAAGCACTTTTTCTTTTTCAGGGGGGCGGTGTTCAGGACTTACCTCTGGCTCTGCACTCAGGAATCACTCCCAGTGGGGCTCAGGGGACCATATCGGGTGCCGGGGATCGAACCCGGGCCAGCTGTGTAAAGTCAGACACCCTCCCCGCTGTTCTACCGACCCCTACCAAGTACCTGGGCTGATGGAACTGGGAATCTCTTGGTGCAAAGCTGTGCTCTAACCACTGGGCCATTTTGCTCAGGGGTTACTCCTGGTTCTGTACTCAGGAATTACTTCTGAGGATCGAACCCAGGTCGGCCCCGTGCAAGGCAAACGCCCTACCCGCTGAACTATTGCTCCAGCCCTTCGAAATGCTCTTCAAACATTTTTTTTCTTTTTGGGTCACACCCGGCGATGCACAGGGGTTCCTCCTGGCTCTGCACTCAGGAGTTACTCCTGGTGGTGCTCGGGGGACCATATGGGATGCTGGGAATCGAACCCAGGTCGGCTGCATGCAAGGCAAACGCCCTACCCGCTGTGCTATCTCTCCAGCCCTCTTCACAGGTCACAGATCACAGATCATCCTGTTATTCGTCGATTGCCTGGAGCAGGCCCCAGTAACGTCTCCTTCATCCTAGCCCTGAGATTATATTCAAGGCTCTGTAGGAGAATGAGACCCATCATTGTTACTGGTATTTGGCATATTTGGTACGCCACGGGGAGTTTGCCAGACTCTGCCGTGTGGGCAGGTTACATTCGGTAGCCTGCCAGTTTGTCAAAGTAGGAATGAGATGTCATAATAAGATGTTGCGCGGCCGCAAATGCGGCCGCGCGTTTCCGGTATCTGGTTTTTATAGTCTCTGAGTCTTGGCTGCTGATGGGATTACACAGCGCCAGGGGGCCAGTTGGTGGGTGTGACCCCCGCCTACTCGAAT